TGTGGCACAGAGTCTGGTACCCAGGAGGCACTCAGAAGACATCTGATGAATGAATGAATGAATGAATGAATGAATGAATGCATGCATGCGTGCCTGGAGAAACAGGTAAGGGAAAGGTAATGACTGGGACAGGCACTGACATTTACTATGCACTATCATCACACTGGAAAGGGTCCCCAGCGGCCCACGGGCAGGCATGCTTAGTACCTATATTACAGAAGAAGAAACAGAGGCTCAGAGAGGTTGAGTATCTCACCCAGTGTCACACAGTTTGTAACTGGCAAAGCCAGGCAAGAACCCAGCTCTGTGAAGCTCAGTGTGCCTTCTGCATGGGAGAGAGTGGAAAAGTGACAGAGGTACGGGGAGCTCCATAGGGCTGTCTAGTGAGGTTCCTAAGTATATCAGCTGTGCAATCTTGGGCATATTACATAGCTTCTCCGTTTTCTCATCTGTCCAATGGCTCTGATATCAGAACCCTCCACACAGGATTCCTATGAGGCTTACTTAACCCAGAGCCTGGCACACTGGAAGTGACCAATTGTTGATAGCATTTGTGAGACAGGAGCCATAAAAGTCCAGGGATCAGTGGTCTAGAGGTCCCCAGGCTGGATCCAAACCCTGTCACTTGCTCCAGGATCTCAGATCCCTGGTCCCAATCGGTCTGCCCTGGTGCAGGTACATACATACATTCACATACATGCATGTAAGCACATGCCTCCAGACCCCTGGCCCCAGCATATGTTATTCTCCACTTTTTCCCAGCCAGTCTTAGCTGAGAGCCTGGCACACAACAAATTCCTCTCACCAGTCCGTGTCCCAGACTAGACACATGGTTAGCAACCAAAAGCCCACTGCTCCAGTCACACTGTAGAAAGAACAGGACCCAGAGTTAGACCGACAAGGTTTCGAATCCTGGCTGTGTGACCTGGAGCCTCCAATTACCCAACAGTCAATGGGAACTGGGGGTAGGTTAGATGCTTCCTCTGGGCCCGTCTGGGCTAACATGTAGATTGGCTGCACCTCAAACACTTGCATCTAGAACCTACATGGAGGTGGGGAGGCCTTGCTTCATGGAACCCATACAGCATAGAATGCAATCACATCTTTTTGTTCTCCCTGGAACAGCTCTCAACTTATTAAGAACCTACAGCTAAGGGGACCCACTCTCTCGACTTCTCCGAGCTCCTCCAAAAATGAAAATACAGACATCCTGTCTGCTCACTGGCTAACAATATTAACAATTCCCCCAAGAGATGCAGGAGTTCACTGCTTGCAAAATGTTTTTTTGTGTCTTCATACCTCCCTAATTCCTGACAATAATCCTATGAAGTTGCCCAGGCAGGAGGTTCCATCATCTTCATTATATAGATGAAAAAGGAGCTCAGAGAAGCCAAGTGACTTGCCCATGGCCACACAGTAAATGGCAGTCGGGTCTCAAATCCAAGTCTTTTGGCTCCAGCTCTCAGATTCTTTCACCCACAAGGGGTGGGGTCCCAGCATGTCCTCGTGGCACATGGTACATGGGCGACAGTTAGTATGATGGGGAGCTAGAAGACCAGGACTTTAAAGATCAAACATAGTCAATGTGTCTGCGCTGTAGTTAAAGCTGCATCTTAGAACCCTGGAACCTCAAAAGTTAATAACCTTCAGACTTCCTTGTCTGGAAGGGACCCGAGGTCAGAAAACCCAACTGCAGCTGCCACATGAATCTCATCCTGAATCTTGCTCGAATAACCACAACCACCAACATTCTATACAGTTTACAAGCTGCTTTCCACAAACCCTATGTCTTTGTCCGAACATGTGAGGTCACCCAGTCTCTCTTTGAATAACTCAAGTCACAGCGAGCTCACTCTCTTCTCTGTAACAGCTTTTTCTGTCGGCTCATTGGGAAAGCTGCCCATTTACACTTTTCCCACTTGGACCCCAGAGCAGGCCTCATGCGACAGGCGATCTGCCATCACCCAACAGGCCTTCCTCATTTGACAATTCCTAGTGTCCCCCACCAGCGGGGCAGTGAGCCTGGGCAGCCCCACTGCACTCTATTACTCAACCCAGGCATAGCATGAAGCCTGACACACTAGGGATCTGGAGTCCTTCTCCTGGTAACTCAGTTCTTGCATCTTAGAAGCAAAGTGGCCCAAAGGGGCAGGAAACACGTCAAAAGGGTAATGACTCTTACTCCATGCTCTGGCTGCCTGGAGAACCAGCTCTGGGACCTGGAGCTAGACCTTCCCCACTCTGGCCATGGTTTATCATCTGTAGATTGAACAAAACAACACTTCCTGTAAGAGCTCCTACACTTACGGTCCACAACCACAGTCTCTAGATTTTCAGCTCGCCTCTGTGAGGTTGGCTGCTGGGTTCAATGAAGCTCTGGGGCAGTTCAGGGACCAACTCAAGTGTACACCACAAGAATTGTATCCTCTGGCCCCGCTCACCTCCCTCATCCAATCTCCTTCCTCTCTCCAGCCTCAGAGCTGTTCCTCGAAATCAACAAGCTTTTTCCTACTCCCTGTAGTCTGGAATGTTCTTACGCCAGCTTTTTATTCAGCTGGCCCCATCTCCTCCTTTAGCCCTTGGCCCCTCTGAGCACCTCCATCACCACTTCCATGTGCTCTTGGCACAACGTATCCTTCTTCACCCTTCTATGATCAGTATTGTGATTTACGGTATGACTATTGTTTAATCCTAGTCTCCCCGACTAGACGCAAAACTCCACGAAAACACTCATCCTTGTCTATGGCTGCATCCCCAGATCTGCACTAATGCCTGGTACACAGTAGGCACTAAATAAATAGTTGGTGAATGAATCAACGAGGGCCCTGGAGAAAGAGCCCAGCCTGCTTCAGATGGTGTGGAGGATCACGTCTGCCTCCACAGAATCCACAAGAGAACATGAAAAGCGTCCATGGAAATGTATCACATACCACTTGAGAATAGCAGTGATGACAGCTACTCTCATCTGAGGCTCACTACACGCCAGATGCTCTAGTGGTGTTTGCACACATTATCTCATTTAACCCTTAAGGTAGGACGATATGTGATATGCCTTTTTACAACGAGGAAACTGAGGTTCAGAGACATTAAGTAACTTGACCAAGATCACACAGCCTGGAAGCTACAGACCCCAAATCCAACAGTGGCCTGAGGCCTGCACACAAAGCCTGAAACACTGAATGAATGGTAGAAACTAAGGCTCAGCCCTGGCCCAGGCAGTGGGAGGTCCCCAGCCAGGCCCTGGCCCGTGTGAGACCTTGGGCTCCATCCCCAGCCTTCTGGGACTATGCTCCGTCTTCACAGTCATTGGTAGCTGAGCTGGACTCCAGAGAAGAGATGCCTGGTGACTTCCTGGGAAGGACAGGGGTCCATCATGAGCGTGGGTACATGAAAAGACCGTGAAGCAAAGCTCTATGGCCCATCTTCTCTACCCAGGATGAACAGTGGGGGCAGGAGGTGGAAGTGAGGACCTCGGGGTCTGAGTTTACAACAGCTCAGGCAGAGGGCACAAAAAGCAGCTCAAGGCACCAAGAGAACAGGGCCAGGCAATCCTTCTAGCTTGTCTCCCTGCTTCTACCCACCCTCTATTCGTCCCCTCCTTACCCTTAGCTTCTGAAGGCTATAGGAGCTCATTGAACCCTTACTGTCCACACTGAAAGGGGCCTTTGAGAAGACTTACCCAGGGATGGGTAATTCTGATTTAGACAGGCCCTGTCCTTCTACAAGCATGTACTGAACACATGCTGGATAGCAGATCCCAGGGAAATGGGGAGGGGGAGACACAGTTGAGCAAGACCCCAAAACTCTAATGAGAGAGAAATGCATTTGGCCAGAAGAGCCATAATGCAAAGCTATGTACTGCCAGGCGGGCATAAATCAGCAGGGTGCTGTTAACGCTGTGGCTCTCGGCCAGGGGACACTCTGCGAGTTGTGCCAGGCCATCAACTGACAAGAGTAGGTAACATTTCAGCCTCTTCCAAAACCAAGACCAACCAGTGGCAGTAGATTACAGCCCGTGAAGCTTCCAGTCTGCACAGCCAAGGTCGACACAGGAGGGCTGGGCTGTCCCCTAAAGCTGCCACAGTACCAGGTGGTGGGCAGACAGGGCCTGGTGCTCATGTCCACCTGGTAGGTGCAAAGCCTACTTTCCTGGGGAAGCTCTCAGGTCCCCACATGCCCAGATGGAATGCCCCTTTCAGATAGGCAGCTTCCCTCCACTCACTGGGAACATGGTAAGGACATAGCCGGGCCATAAGGGGTGGGCCATGAGGGGCCAATGGAGCCGCTGGGTATACAAGGCCTGTCCCAGAGACGGCAAAAGACAATATCCTGGGGTTTAGGAAGCTGCCTTGAACTGCTTCTCCCACGACATCATCCTCCCAGGCTGTAGGACCGTTAGACTGGGCGGAAGTCGGACTCCAGCCAAAAGGATGTTCCCAGATGTCATGTTTTCAAACAGGACCCGCCCTGAAAGGCAGGCGGGGACAGGCCTGGGCCTGAGGAAAGCCCAGAGAAAAGACTCAGGATGGTGTTCCGGTCTCTCCTTGGCACCGGCTGGCCACAGGTCTCCCTGGCAGCATGCACACCAGTGTCTGTCCCAGAAAGGAGAGCCGCCAAAGGCCTGGCCTCTGGACTGGGGGTGGGAGCTCTGAGTGGCTGAAGGCAGAGGTCCAGCCCCTCACTGACTACCCACCCACCACCCCCAGTAATGCACTGAGAGGGACGTCCTCCCAAACAGTTTTCTCACCGCCTCCCCTTCCCCATATCAGGACCCTGTGGCCAGTCTCCTACATCCAGATTCCTCCTCAGGAGAGGGTTTCTCAAATAAAATGGAAGGCAGGATGTGAGGGAGCCCTAGATCAAGGTGGTCCCAGAGAGTTTAGGCCCCTTTTACCAGCTCGTTCAGTGGGGCTGCGGGGGCCGGCTGGTGCCTCAGTCCCGTGGGTCTGTGACAACCAGGGGCCTCCCGTGGCCTCCCTCGCCCGCATCAGCGCCCCAACCTTGAGATAGTCGTTTTCCGAGCGCAGCTCCTCCAGCTCTCTCACGAAGCCGCTGGGCCCGCAGTCCAGCATCTCCTCGGTGAGGTCAGAGAAGGCAAGCGAGGCACTGAGTGGCAGGCGGCTGCTTCCCAACGACGACGCGGCTACCGATGGCTCATCGGGGGAGGCGGGCGGCCGCGGGGCCTGCTGTGCGGGCGGCGCGGCATGGGGCGGCTGCCCGGTGCGGGCCCCCGCCGGGCCCCCGGCCGCGGACTCGGCGTCGCTGCTCAGCGCCAGCTCCAGGCCCAGCAGTCGCGCCTCTTCCGACGCGCAGTCCGACACCTCCGAGCTGCTGTCCGTGAGGCTGGGCGGAGGTGGAGGCGGTCGCGGCCCGGTACCCGGGCGCGGGCGGCCCTTGGCACGCACCCCGGTACGGACCCCGGCCACCCGCGTCCCTGAGCCCCGCGCCCCGGGCACCACCGTGCGCCCCTTCTTGTCCGGCCGCGCGGAGGACGCGGCGCTACAGGCGGCTGCGGCGCCCGGGCCTGGGCCGCGGCGGCCCTTGGCCAGCGACCAGCCGGCCACGTCCTTGGGCCGGGCCGGCGATGGCGCGCGGTGGCTCTTCTTCCTCTCTGGAGCGGGTGCGGGCGGGGGGCCGCAGCCCCGGGCCAGAGGCTCCCCCGCGGGCGCCTCCATCTCGGCCTCCCTCGGCCTCAGCGAGCGGCGCGCATGGCCCGGGCCCGCCCGGCCCCCGCGCCCCTGGGGAGGGTCCGGGCGCCGCTCCCGCCGCTCTGGCCGAGGCTCCTCTCGGCTCCCCTCAGCCCCAGGACTGTGCTCCGGCCCCGACCCCCGCCGCACTGTCTCTCCGCTGCTCTGAGCTCGGAGAGAGCGGCCCGCTCGCCTCCAGGCACCCCGGCTCCGGCTCCGGCTCCGCCCGGCGCCCGCCCCCTCGGCCTCGCCGCGCCCCCGGAGCGTGCCCGGGCCCCGGCTGCCTACACGCCGCTCACTCCCTCGGGCTCTGAGTCCGGCTGCGGCCCGGGCCCCGGCTCCGCCCGGCGCGGCCCGCCCCCCGCGCAGCCCCGCCAGCTCCCCGCCCCGCCGCCTCGGCTCGGGGGCGCGCGGCTCCGCGAACAAAAGACGGACGCGGCGGGAGCGGCAGGGAGGGACGCAGGCAGCGAGCGAGGGAGGGATCTGCGAGGCAACAGCGACCCCCTCGAGGGTCAGGCAGGCCGGGGCTGTCGCGGTCCGTGCTCCCTCCTCGGCCGCTCCGCCGCCGGCCGCTCCCCTGCCCGCCTGGGGAACGCACCCGGCGGGGCTTCTCCTGCTCCCAGCGTCCCGGCAGGGGCCCCGCGGGCGGCGAGAGAGGGGACTCCCAGGCAGAGGCCGGGCGGACCTCAGAACGCAGGAGCCAGCATCCATATACACACCCGGTACTTCGCCCCTCGCCGCTCTGCCGAGCGTGCGCGAACTCCTCCCCCTGAACTGTGCAAAGCGAGACCAATGATCCCATTGCACAGACGCATAAAATGAAGCCTTGGAAAGACTCGCGATTAGCCCAAGGTCAACGGCAGAGCCGGGATGGAACCCAAACTTCACACCTCAGGGGTGTGCTCGGCTCTTCTGCCTCGGCCTCCCTGCCACAGGCGTAGGCACCGTGAAGCCCTGGGTGCGTGCCCGGCCCTGCACATTTTGACCGACTGTGATCCCAAGCATACATACTCCTTCCTCCCTGACCCCGGTCTCAGGCTCCGCATGGCTGAAATGGAGGCGACCTGTCATGAGGTGTCAGACCAGCGATCCTGTGGGAGTAGGTTCTGTCCCCGGTGGGGGCTGGCACGGGCTGGAGATGGTGCCCTGAACCCCACGTGTTCTTTCCCAAGAGCAACTGTGGACTACTTAGGAGCCCCGGATCTGGGGGCGGAGGGGTCGCTTCTTTCCTTCCAGGGCTGTCTCCACGGCTGTTGATTTTCCCGTGTGTCGTCTGTCACACCTCCTCCTCCCCTTCTCCTCCCCTGCTACTCCCTGTCGCTGAGCCACCGCGGGGCAGAGCCAGATTAAGTCCTTTGGCTGCCCCTCCGGCGGTCACATACCCCCCAATGCCAACAGAGGTGGAGGGGCAGCGCTGTGTTTACCCTTCTGCAGCCTCTTCTTCCTTCCCCTGTTCCTTCGTCCCCTCCTTTTCCTCCTCCTATTCCATTTTCCCCTTTTCCTCCACCTGCCCATTTTGTCCTTCCTCCTTTTCCTCCTCCCCTAATCCTGTTCCTTGCCTCCTCCTGCCTTTGACGCACAGCTGGCACTGGATCCACTTCTTTGTTTCTGTCCCACCTCCCCCACAGAGTGAATACATTTCTGGCGTACCCCCTCTCACCTGAGGCATGGCTTCATCCCCATCTAGAAGTGTCCAGGTGTGTGAGTGCCCTCTCCACCTTGGCTCCTTCCTCCAGGTGCTCTCCCCGCCCCCCCCTGCCCCCCATGAAGCCAGGTAAGGAGCAGGGCTACTCATCAGGTTTCAGGGCAAACACTCCCCCAGGAGCATTTCCACCCACTCCTGGCAAGGCTGACTGTCCACTCACCTGGTCCACAGGCACCAGGTAGGACACTAAAGGACACAGTGGTGGACTTGTCATGTTGTGTTCCTGGCCTCCTAGAGCACACAGTTTAGGGGGGAGATGGCCACAAAAGATTAATCACAAACAGGGTGGTGTGGAGTGGCCTCAGAGTCCCCACCTGGTCTAGTCCACTGTAACACATGACAGGATCCTTCTAGCTCTGATGCTCCTGTTTCTTGTAGGCTTGTCCTAGTCTGGCAGAGAGAGATGCCGTGTAGCTCTTGGAAATTGTTTACCCTCTCTGTGCTTCAATTTCTACCCCTGTGCAGAATATGGGCTTGGAGATGTTGGATGGTGTGAATCCAGGCAGGGGACATGCTAGACTAGGCTGGTTTAGCCACTCCTACACACCCAGGGCCACACTGATAGTCCTGAAATTATGGTGGCCTGGATCTCTTTACGTGGACCTGGGCCTGAGTCCTGGCTTTACCACGTATCCTGTCTGGGCCTCAACACTCGTGGCTCAGGGATCTTCTCATTCTCATGGTCTTTGGATTTGAAGAGCCATGAATCTATATTGCAGCCCCAGGAGAACCTGGGGAACAACAAGGCCTTCGTAGGGAGGGGTCCTGGGGTTGAGTGGGGCTCAGTTCAGACCAGGGAAACTGCAAAAGGAGTGAGACTTCCTGGGAGTCCAGAATTGGCTGCATGTAGGCAAGAAGACCGTCTGTGGCTTCCTGACCCACGGGCACTCATTTATGCCACGCTCTGTGCTCAACACGTCAGTAGTGGCTCTCAGAAAGGTTAAAACTTCTTGTGACTGATTGTATTTTCCAAAGATAGGTACAGCAGTATAGAGCTCATCCCAATGACTGTTTTGATCATATGGCATTGACACTCTTCCACTTGAGTGATGGGGGTCTATGTTCCCTCCCCTTGAACGTGAGTAGACCTTTGTGACTGCCTCACCCAATAGAGAATGGCAGACATGATACTGTGACTTCCAAAGCTAGGTCACAAAAGACAACATGGCTTTACCCAGCACAATCTCTCTCTCTCTCTCTCTCTCTCTCTCTCTCTCTCTCTCTCTCTCTCTCTCTCCATTCACCCTTGGAACCCAGCCACCATGTTGGGAGGAAGGCCAGGCCTCATAAAGGTGGGGCCATGTCAAAGTGTTCCAGTGAACAGCTCCAGCTCTGCTCCCCGCTAACTACCAGATATGTGAGAGAGTGAACCTTCAGATGACTCGGCCCCCAGCCTTGGAGCTGCCCCAGTTGATGCCAAGTGGAGCAGAAATAGGCTGTCCCAAACTGCAAAATAAATATTGTTGTTTTAAGCCACTAAGTTTTGGGGTAGTTTGTTACACAGCAGTAGACAGCTGGAATGCTTGTCCAAGGTCATGCAGCTGGGAAACAGCAGGGCTGGGGCTGATTTGAACTCAGGGCCATCTAATTTCAGAGCCTGTTTTGCTGAACGATTGGGCAGTGTCCAGCTCAGGCACGCTGTGTGTGCTGTACAAAGCTCTAATCAAGAAGGCATGAAGCAATAAATGATTGTAAGAATTATATCAGACTATAAGAAATGAAGATGCTAACTACCCAGTGGAAAATGTTTGTTTTCTCCCGTTCAAGCTGCGTGATTGACCAACATGATAGAAAGTGAATGGAGACTAAATCCTAAAGCCTTCTAAGAGGAGGTGATTTTTTTTTAAGCTAAAGCTTTTTTTGTTTGTTTGTTTTTTCATTATATCAGTCATTTTCATTATATCAACCACTGGCTGAGGGAGCATTAGAGGAATTAGTAGGGGAACCTGCTTTAAACAGGGTAGTTAGAGAGGCCTCTCTGAGGAGGTGACATTTAAACTGAGTTATTCAGAGACAGAGTAAGAAAATTCCAGGCAGAGGGGACAGTAAGGGCACAGGCCCTGAAGAAGGAACAAGCCTGATGGAAATTCAAGGGAGTAAGAAGGTCAGTGTGACTGCAACTTGATAAGTGATGGGGAAAGGACAAGATAAAACTGGAATGGACAGCAGGAGCCAAGGCAGGCCCTGGGCAAGGGCTTGATCCTTGATGTAGTGACAAGCCATTGGAGATTGTAAGCAGGGATGTGATATAATACCATCTAATTTATGTTTTAAACAGGTCACTCAGCAGCTGGCAAGAAGAGATGCTGAAAGATAGGTTAAGGGCTATTGAACCAGACTCTGAGAGATAATGGTGGCTTGGACGAGGGTGCTGCAGTGGAGACGGAAAGAAGAGGGTAGTCTGGAGATCTGTCCTGGAGCTACAAAGAGTCAGACACCCTGGGGGATCGTGAGGGATCAGAGAAATGAAATCAAGTTCAACTCCCAGTTTCTGGCTTTAGTTACAGGATACATGATGGCGCCATTTAACAAGACAAAGCAGGCTTGGAGGTGGTCAGGGGTAAGAGAGCACAGGTTTGGAGGGGGAAACGAAGCGTTCTTTTTGGACACATTCAGTTCGACATGTCTAGGGAGACATCCAAGTGGAGAACTTGTATAGGCAACTGACATACGAGTGTGGAGTCCAGGGCAGCTGATGGTCTGGAGTCATGATGAATCATCAGCATTTAGACACCATTTAAATCCATGGGACCAGGTGAGGTCATATTGGGAGAATAAAAACTGGCCTAGAACCAGGAAGTTAAGGATCCTGGTTCTACAAATAACCCTAAAATTTATATGGAACCCCAAAAGACCCCGAGTAGTCAAAGCAATCTTGAGAAAGAAGAACAAAGTTAGAGGTATCACATTACCCGATATCAAACTATACTACAAAGCTCTAGTAATCAAAACAGCATGGTACTGGCATAAAAACAGACACATAGATCAATGGAACAGACTAGAGAGCCCAGAAATAAACTCACACCCACAGGGTCTATTAATCTATAACACAGGAGGCAAGAGTATACAATGGGGTAAAGACAGTCTCTTCAATAAGTGGTGTTGGGAAAATTGGACAGATACATGCAAAAAAAAAAAAAAAGAAACTAGACCACTTTCTTACACCATATATAAGAATACACTTAAGTGGGCCGGCCAAGTGGCTCAGTTGGTTAAGAGCTCACTCAAGAGTGCGAGCTCTGAGCAACAGCGGTTTGAATCCCTGTCTGAGCTGAGCTGCCACTGAGCTGCCAGCAGGTGGCAGGATGGCTCAGCTAAAAAAAAAAAAGAATACACTCAAAATGGATTAAAGACTTAAATGTAAGACCCGAAACCATAAAACTCCTAGAAGAAAACATGGGCAGTAAACACTTTGACAATGCTCTTAGTAATATTTTTTTATAGACTGCCTCAGGCAAGGAAAACAAAACAAAAAAATAAACAAATGGGACTACATCAAACTAAAAAGTTTTTGCACAGCAAAGAAAACTATCAACAAAACAAAAAGACAACCTACTGAATGGGAGAAGATATTCACCAATGATACAACTGATAAGGGGTTAATATTTAAAATATAAAAAGAACTCATACAACTTAACACCAAAAAAAAAAATCTAATTAAAAAAAAAGGCAGAGGACCCGAAGAGACATTTCTCCAAAGAGGACATACAGATGGCCAATAGACATATGACAAAATGCTCAACGTCACTAATCATCAGAGAAATGCAAATTAAAACCACAATGAGATATCACCTCACCACTGTCAAGATGGCTATCATCAATAAAACAACAAACAACAAGTGTTGGTGAGGATGTGGAGAAAAGGGAGCCCTCATACACTGTTGGTGGGATTGCAAATTGGTGCAGCCACTATGGAAAACGGTATGGAGTTTCCTCAAAAAATTAGAAGTAGAACCACCTTACAACCCAGAAATCCCAATTCTAGCTATTTATCCGAAGAAATCCAAAGCATTAATTTGAAAATGCATTCTATTATGTTCATTGCAGCATTATTGACAATAGCTAAGATTTGGAAGCAACCTAAGTGTCCATCAACAGACGATTGGATAAAGAAGATGTGGTACATATGTTCAATGGAACATTACTCGGCCATAAAAAGAATGAAATCTTACCATTTGCAACAACATGGATGGACCCCGAGGGCATTATGCTAAGTGAAATAGTCAGAGAAAGACAAATACCATATGATTTCACTTATATATAGAATCTAAAGAACAAGCAAACAAACAAAACAGAAATAGACTCAGATACAGAGAACAAACTGATGGTTGCCTATGGGAGGGGGATTGGAGGGTTGGGTGAAAAAGGTGAAGGGATTAAGAAGTACAAATTGGCAGTTACAAAATAGTCATGGGGAGGGCCAGCCGAGTGGCGCATTGGTTAAGAACTGGCTTGGGACGCCAGAGGGCCCCGGTTCGGATCCCACATATGAGGGCCAGTGACGCTGCCCTGTGCAGCTAAGATGGTGAATGGCAGCTTGACCTGGGGCTGGGCTGCTGTGGGTCGCCGGCAACGGCATAGGCTGCAGCCCCTGCTGCAGTGGGCTGCCATAAGCTACCGTGTGTAGCCGGCAGGCAGCCAGCGTGAGCGGCCAGCAGCCTCTGTGAGCGGCCGTCCAGAGGCCGGCGACTGATCTGCCTCACCCGGGAAGGCAATGATGGTGCCAACTTGGGCCAGTGAAGCAACGTCCTCCACAACTAGACTGAAGAACAAAAGGACAGCAACTTGTCTCTTCCCCTTCCCCGATTCCCCAGCACTGTTCCAATTCCCCAATACAATCTTAAAAAACAAAAAACAAAATAGTCACGGGGATGTAAAGTACAGCATAGGGAATATAGTTAATTACATTGTAATAACTATGTATGGTGCCAGATGGATACTAGACTTTTCAAGGGGATCACTTTGTAAGTTATATAAACGTCTAACCACTAGGCTGCACACCTGCAACTAATATAATATAGAATATCAACTATAATTGAAAAATAAAAATTAATAATAAAAAAAAAGAATCCTGGTTCTAGAAAGTGGGTAAAAGGAGCACAGGGAGACGCGAAATGGAGCAGGCATAGAGGGGACTATTGTGTTAAGAGCAATAGATGGATGAGGCAGAGAGGGAAGTGAGGGCAGCAGAAGGGGAGACAGAAGGATCCAGGGATGGGGGACTAGCTTTTGAAAAGAGCAGGGACCCTTCGTCCATTGTCCCGGAGGGAAGGCAGAGAGATGGGTGAGACGCAGGTGGAGCTGTCAGGAAGGTGAGGGAGTGGCTGATGATGGCCTCTGAAGTCACCAGCGGAGAGTAAGGAGACAGGAGTGAGCGTAGTTTGAGGAGAATGGAATCCAGCCTTCCCGGGATGAGAGAGGGGTATGTCAGGCTGTTTATGCACCCATTTGGGGTTCAAAGTGAAGCCAGTCAGTCCAGCAAACACGGGGTGTATTCTAAAGGGATTCTAGTAATTTTCTCTCAACATTTTCAGGTTTATTTTGCATAGCTAAAACCATACTGCACAATTTTATATCCTGCTTTTTTTTCACTTAATGGGGGTAGCAGAAGCATTTCCCCATGCATTTATAAACTCTTTGCAAACATCGCTTTTAATACTTAGAAATAATCCATGGAGTGGGTGCTCCATGGGTCACTTAACCTTTTCCCCCTTTTGTTGGACATTTAAATTGTTTCCTGGCAATGATTACTGAAGTCCTGAAAGGGGTGGTGTGTGTGGTCTGGTGAAAAGGAAAGGAGAAGGGAAACTGCAAGGCAGAGCTGGGACGTCTGGCGTTCCTGTGTCTAGAATCCCGTCGTGGAAGCTTTTTAGGGGCCTGTTAAACGGCAATTGGTTTTCCTGAGAGGTCACTTTTAGAGTTTTCCTGGACATGAAGACAAAGAATGGGTCAGCAAGGCACATCTCACTGGCTTCTCATGGGGGCAATAGGGTAGGGAAAGGGACTTGGAGAGCAGGGGTGACCAGGTGAGTGACCCCTGAGCCGTTTACAGTTTAAACATATATTGCAACAGCCATGTTTGAGGTGGCAACAGGGCCCTTCACTTTCCTGTTTCCCCCATAATACAAGTCCTTTTGGCATCCCTTCCTGGAGGGGGCACTGCCCCAGCAAGGCTGTCATGGGCAAAGTATCTAGGGACCCAAGTCCTCTTCTCAAAGCCCAGCAGGAGAGGGTCTCTCAGCTGTGTGAGGATGGAGTAAGTGAGCTAGTGGGCTCTCTCACCCTCCCCACAGAGGCTGGGGGAGCATTTGGTGGGGATATTTTCCAGGGGATCCTGTCCTGGGTGGAGGCTGCTTGCCCTGGGCCTGGCTGAGACCCCTTCCAAATTTGTTCTGTGAATCAACAACAGCATTTACTGAAGTCTCACTATGGGGACAGAGAAGTAACCCCCACTGATAGAATGCCTACTGCGTGCCAAACACTGGGCGTCCTGTGCATGATCTCACCTGATGTCAGGATAGGCCAAAGAGGAGAGAATCATCACCCCATCTGAGAGGGGAACCCGCAGGGGCTGAGCAGGGCTGCTTCTCCCTGGCCCACTCTCCCACACCCCAGCCCCAGGGTTCCCCTGCAGCACAGGGTGACTGATGGAAAAGCCCACCTCATAACCCTTTCCTGTAGCATTTATGCTCCACAAAGGAAGGGCTTTAGTGATAGGCGTCAGGCACCAGGTGGCACCTGGTAGCTATGGTGAGAGGCTTTGCGTTAGAACCAAGGAGTTCAATGTCCCCATCTTTTTGGGCTGGTGGGGGCAGAGCTGAGGGCCAGAGGGTGACAAGGTCGTGTTTGTGTGTGTTTGTGGGATTTGAGTTTCTGATAGATGATAATCGCTGCCAGGTCTTCCCAGCTGGAACCAGAGCAGGCACTGGGCCAGGGCCTGCCGCCCTCTGGGCAGGTATAAGAACCAAGAAGGAGGTCCTGGAGCTGAGCCAAGACAGAGATGCCAGCTGCCTGCCCGGGCACGAGGGTAGAGAGCTATAGCTGCTGCGTACAGATCACCAAGTGGGCAGGGTCAGTTCTGGAAGTGACCCCCTCTCTGGGAGACACACTAAGGAAACCATCAGACTGGACAGGCTGGAGGAGGTTGCCAAGAAGCCAGGGCTCGGCAAGGTGAGTACCTTTCCACGGTTCCTGTCTTTCCCTTCCCCACTGAGCTCCTCACCCTTGTGAGTGACTAGGTGACTATCAGTCTCTGAGGTGCCTAAGTGGAGACTGAGTGGCCTGGATCTCTCAACAGGCAGTGTGTATGGGGGTGGGGGTGGCGGATAGCAATAAACACTGTCATTTATCCAACACTCACCAAATATGTACCAGGCACTGTGCGTCATCTCACTAAATTCAGGGCAGAAGGATGGAGACCTGGCTTAGCATCCTAGTTGTTCAGGGATTATCTTTATTTACTCTTACAACAGCCCTCTGAGGTACATATGTTGCAGATGAGGAGACAGAACAGAGATGTTAAGTCACTTGCCCCAAATCACACAGCAAGTCAGTGGCAAAACCAGGATTTGAATTCCCTGATTCCAGAGCCTGTGCTCTTAATCTGTGTTATACTGTTGTGTGGCTGTGATAAGTGCCTTCCACTTTCTTAGTGGCCATTTCCTTATCTGTAGTTTGAGGGCATAAAACTTGATCCAAAAGATATTAGCCTGAAATTTCCTGAAGGTACCTGGACATGGGTCAGCTTTAATCACCAGGAAACCTTGTTGGAAACATTTGTAAAGAGCTATGGGTATGCCCTTTGATCCAGCATTCAACTTTTAAAATTTATTATGAAGGATAGAATCAGATTTATGAACAAAGATGTTCATTACAATGTTGCTTATAATCACAGAAAATTAGAAGCAAATAAAATTTGAGGAATAAGTGATGCACATCTTATGATGAAATCATATGCAGACATGAAAAACCATGTGTTCAAAGGGTACTGACGATCACTGGAAAATTCTCATTTGTTCATGGAAAAAGTGCTTTGTAAAACTATATACGTACATGGTTTGATCTATTTATAAATATGTGTATATACAGGCATATGAAATAAATATAAAAGACTGGAAAAATACCCTTAGGGGTTGAGAGTTTATCTCTGAGAGATGGAATTATAAATATTTTTATATTTTTCTTTATTCTTTTCTAGATTCCTCAAGTTTTCTACAATAAGCATGTATTATTTTTTTAATTAGAAAAGCAAAGGGTTTTTTTGGTTTTTTTTGTTGCTGTTCTTGTTTTTTTTGTGTGTGTGTGTGTTTTTTTAGCTGAGCCATCCTGCCACCTGTTGGCAGCTCAGCTGCAACTCAGCCCAAGCCAGGCATTGAACTGCTGTTGCTCAGAGCTCGCACTCTTGCGAGAGCTCTTAACCAACTGAGCCACTCGGCTGGCCCCATTTGTTTTGTTTTTTAAAGATCTATTCTTTTGGTCTAGGCTTGGCCCCTTTCAAGCTTCTGCTGTAATGCACTCATTGGTTTTAGGAGGGAACTGAATTTCAGGCTGTCAGTATTGTGAGGGCCTCTGAAATGACCTGGTCCAACATGTTACATGTGGGAAAACTGAGGGCCAGGGGTGCAAGGGACTTATCCAAGGTCATACAGGGAACCAGAAACCCTAGACCCCCAGCCTAGGGCTTAAGCATCTGCCCAAAGGGCCATACTCCCAAGGTCAGTCTGCTAGAAGGGCAAGGAGATGGGAGGGAATCCCGCCTACAATTTACTGTGTATGGCTAACTTGTGTTTATTACTAACTGCAAGTGAGGCCTTGAATGCCGAGTACAGCTGACCTCACAGGCCTACCCGTGACAACTCGGACTGGGAGTGACAGGTAAGAGGGAGCAAAGGGCAGATGGGTGGGTGTGGAGCCAGCCAGGTGTGTCACAGCCCTCTCATCTGTAAACCTCACCCAGTGGTGCTTTCTCCTCTGGCAGAACCGAGGCCTCGCTCACTGCCCGCTGCTTGGCTGGGACTGAAAAATGAAAGGTCTTCGCTGGCATTACACTCGGCTGGTAAGGGGTCCAGCTTAGGCTGGGGGTTAGGTCAGACAAGGTGGGGGGAGGTGAACTGTAGGCAGGTGATTTGTTCTTCTTTCAAGTCCCTCCCCAGGTGGCCAGGGGTTCAGAGCAAAGATTCAGGAACCCAGGCCTGAGCTCCCAGCCCCATGGTCCTGAGACACTCAAGGAGCACAGAATGTTATCTTCTTTCCTTCCCTCCTGGGGTGGGTGCCAGATGGAGCTCTGTCCAGAAACCCCACACACCTAGGACTCCCTCTTTAGGCCTGAACCTGGGGAACAGGAAAGTAGTGTCCTAGTCAGCTCTCATCGTTAAGGAGGTCTCTCCTTCCTATGAATAGCCCCGAAGTCATTGTGTGCAGGCACACGTGTGTGCACACCTCCCCCAACACACACACACACACACACACACACACACACACACAGGTACAAAGTGGACGCTCAATTGAATGAATGAATGAATGAATGAATGAATATACCAACAATGACGCCCACTGACACACACTATTACACAATCCAAATTCACACTCACAAACACATCAACTGGTAAACACACACAGTTATACTCAGCACCTTCTCACACGGATTGGCCTGCACAGCTCTATTCACACCAACACTCACGTTCACACGGACGAGCACACATTTTACATGAACCTGCACACGCTTCACCCACGACTGCATGATCGTTTCACCGATTGGCAGGGGAGCCTCCAGGCCTTGTTTTCTCCTTTTGTAAAATGGCGATAATAAGAAGCACATTCTTAGGATTCTTGGGGAAATTCAGAGATATCATGCACAGCAGTCACTTCACACAGGCCTGGTCAAGCGTGTGCTGGTCAAGGTCAACCACTGTCATTGCTATTATTGTTATTATTATCATCATTATTTTATGTACAAATGCACACAGTTGCAGTGCCCACGGGCTGGGCTGTCACCTGCCCCCAAGCTGAGAACAGGATCCCTGGCACCCACTCAGGATCCAGAGCAGACAGGCAGACAAACCACAGGGCCCACAGCCACATCTGATGGGCGTGTGTGCCTCCAACCTTTGGCTGGCAGGGGCCAGAGAGGAAGCCGGCTGGAGGCAGGGCCGAGCCTTATCTGCCGTGGACGCTACCAGCCTCCTCGGGCTGGGCTGGCGGTGGCAGGGACCTGGGCAGGGGCCAGCGGAGGCTCTCAGGCCTGCGAAGTTGTGCAAGCTGGTGTCTCCTGTCCCTTGACTGACCAGGCCTCTTTGTTGTCTTCACAGCCCAGCCAGGCAGAGGACGGAGAAGGAGAGTCTGGGAAGGAGAGTGAAGAGGAAGAGGAAGAGGAAAAGGAGGAGGCAGCCCCAGCTCCTGAAGACCCCACGGAGCCCCAGCTGGCAGAAGCCAGCCGGGTTATGGGAGACTCGGAGATTAGGCAGGTTGGGCACGGCCTATGAAGCAAGGATTTCAGCCCTGACCCAGAAGGTCCCAGCCTCCTGTCCTACTCCAGCCAGGTTCAAGGACACCTGAGGTCACTCCTGCTCTGTCCCCAGCTTACTGTCACTTTGGGCAAACCATTTCTCTGCTGGGCTTTCTTTTCCTTTCTTATAGCATGATCTAGTAATACTACCACCATCCTCTTCACTGGGCCAGGAGGTTAAAGATACAATTAAACAAGCTTATGCTTAAGTAGAACCAGTCCTTGGGTACTGAAGCCAAAGCTGGGGTGGGAGTGTGTGTGTGTGTGTGGGGGGACTAGGAGGAGGGAATCAGCGTCTCATCTATTCTCTGGCCATTAGGGGCCAGGGTGACCAAAGGGAGAGAGTCCTGAGAGAGACCTGACCTAGGTTCAAATCTTGACTCTGACACTTGCTTCCCGTCGGGGCTTTAGGCAAGTTGCTTCACCTCCCTGAGCCTCAGTTTCTTCATCTATAAAATGGGACTAATAATTCCCCTCTCTGAGGGCTACTGCTAAGAGGCGTGAAAGTCCCCTGGAAATAGGAAATTACTCCATACCCTGTAAAGCCACATGCCTGTATGACCCCAAGGATATGGTGCAAGGAGGCTGGTGGGGGATGAGGCTTCCTCACTCAACTCTTGTCCTGTCCCCAGCTCAGCCTCCACCTTCCCCCAAGAGTCACTGGACATTCCTGGAGCCTGGCCTTCTGCACGTCAAGGGACGGCTTCAGTCTGCGCAGCCTGTACAGGCAGATGGAGGGCCACAGTGGGCCGGTGCTACTGGTGCTGAGGGACCAGGACGGGCAGGTGAGCTGGGCTGGGGCCCCAGCCTAGGCGGTGTTCAGGGAAAGGATGCCTGTTCATGGGCCTATGGGGGTCTCTCCATCCTCAAGCTCTGCCCCAGGCTCCCCAGGTGCCCCTCTTGGATGAGTCTATATTACCAAGCCCAGAAAGCAGTGTTGCTAGTGGACCTCCAACCCGCTTCCAGGGGCAAACTGCAAGCTCTTCTGCTTTCCAGATGTTTGGGGCCTTCTCCTCCTCGGCTCTTCGACTCAGCAAAGGCTTCTATGGTACTGGCGAGACATTCCTCTTCTCCTTCTCACCACAGCTGAAGGTGATGTTCCCAACCTTCTGGGGGTGAGTGGGGTCTATGGCAGGACAAAGATCCTGGGGTCTCAGTGGCCCCCAGCTCCATCCCCTGTGCCTGGTGTTCTTGCATCTTTCCACAGAGGGAATGCAGGAGGGCAGTGGCAGGTAGAGCATCCCCCTTGGCCTGCCTATCTTCATTCCAAAAAAAAAAAAAAAAAGCTCAGTAGTAGTTCCTGGCCACCAATGACTGGCTCTGAGAGCAAGTTGGTTGCTCACCAGATACAGGCTGGAAAGATAAAACTGGTCCACGTGCAGGTAGATGTGCAGGTGTTGGGAGAGGAAGATGAAGACAGATACGACCAATGGTTTCCATTTCCTTATGAAGTACGGGGTAAAGTCATTGGCTGTGAGTGAGAACGGAGGAGAGTGTGTGAAGGTTGAGGGGAGAGGAGGTATCAAATAGTTATCGCGGGAGGGGCAAAGGAAGCCTATGAGAAAACTAGAGGCGCAGAAGACAGTCAGGCAGTGTTGATGGGAGGTTGGAGACTGTGGATTTAAAGAAAGGCAAGCCAGTTACTTTGACGTGTGCCTTCCTTCAGCAAAGCTCAGCTTCTCAGGTTCAGGCAGGGACAGAGAAGAGGGGAAGGTTCACTCATGACGGGTTTTGCCAAGCTGGCTTAACAGAGGGAGAACAGGAAAAGGAAGTTGAAGGGAGTGGAAATACACAATGAATAGAGAACTAACTAGTTCTGAGGGCTTCGGTTTGCGATTAGACACCTCCTCTCCAATACACAGACCAAGACACCTAAAGATACATCCAGCAACACAAGCATCCGGTCGCATGACGAGATCACAAGGAGCTATGGACTGCCTTGCTAAAGGCAAAACACCCCCTATTTATTGCATTGCCTCCATCGGCCAGCCTGATAATCTTATCAGGAAAGAGGGAAGGGGTCAGTTGTTCATAGCAAACCCATGCTGGAGATTAGTCATCCCCACTTGCCTTCCAGGGTGCACATACTAGAATCCTAAAGTTCTAGAATTTTCATCTTACTGCATTGACAACTTCTTGGCAGAATCCTTTGCTGGTTCCTCCTCATCTTCCCAACTTTTTTTTTTTTAACATTTTATTGGGGAATTGTGGAAGGGGAACAGTGTTGGGGAATTGGGGAAGAGGAACAGTCAAGTTGTGGTCCTTCAATCTTAGTTGTGGAGGGCGCAGCTAGCTCAGCTCCAAGTCCAGTTGCCATCTGGCTGCCTGTCGGCAGCTCAGGGCAGCTCAGCTCAAGGTGCTGTGTTCAATCTTAGTTGTGGGTGGGCATAGCCCACCATCCAATGTGGGTGTTGAACCGGCAACCTTGTTGTTAGGAGCATGTGCTCTCACCAGCTGAGTCATCCTGCCACCTGTTGGCAGCTCAGCGGCAGCTCAGCTCGGGTGCAGCTCATTGGCCCATGTAGGAATCAAACCGGTGACCCTGTCGCTCAGAGCTCATGCTCTTAACCAACTGAGCCACTTGGCCGGCCCCTTCTCAACCTTTTAATGTCAGAGAGTCCTAAGCTCAGTTTTGGGTTCTCATCTCTTCTCTGACTACCCTCTTTTCCTTTAAGGTCTCATCCATTCTCACAGCTTTCCATGCCATCCATGTGCAGATGGCCTCTTTCCCTGGACTCCAAACTCACATATATCCAACCACTACCCAGTGTCTCTCCACTTGGATCTCAAACCTGGCACTTCAAGCCTCACATGTCCAAAACTGAGCTATTAACTTTCCCCTGCAAAATTGCTCCTCCTGCTATCTTCCCCAATGAAGTTAATGGGTGCCCCCCCCATCTTTCCTGCTGCTGTCACCAAAAATTTTAGAGTCCTTCTTAACATCACGTTCATACACTATATCTGAGCTGTCAACAAATCCTGACAGCGCTGCCTTCTCTTTCTACCTATAACCAGAATCTACCACTTTTCACCATGTCTTTTGCGGTCACCCTAGTTCCAGCCACCATCATTACTTGTCTGTGTTCTTGCTCTAGCCTCCTAAAGCTTCCACCTTCAGTCATCACAGTAGCTGGAGTGGTCCTTTTAATAGGTAAGTCAGAGCATGTCACTCCTTTGGCTCCAAGCTGCCAATGGCTTCCTTTTTTACTTGGAGAAAAGTCAAAGTCTTTACAATAACCTACAAGTCCTTATGTCTTCTGGCCTCTCTCTCTTGTTACTTTTCCTTTCCCTCACTCTGCTCTAGTCACGCTGACCTCCGAGCTGGTCCTTAAACACAGAGGCTCCTACCTCAGGGCCTTTGCACATGATGTTCTGTCTAGAGTGCCCTCCACTGGATCTTCACATGGCTCGGCTCTCACCTCCTTCAGTTCTCTGCTCTAATGTCGCCATCTTGGTGAGGACCTCCCTGATCACCTGATTTAAATGCTATGCCCTGGGAACCCTCATTGCCCTTCTCTTTTGCTCCTTAGCAATTGTCACCACCTAACAAACAATTTTATTTTACTTATCTACTTTTTCTCACTAGAATGAGAGTCCCATGAGGCAGGAATGTGGATCTGTTATGTTCATCATTCTACTCAGGACCTAAAACAGTGCCTGGTGCTAAATGCTAAAAAAAAAAAAAATTGTTGAATGACATGAATGATTTTTTTTCAGGGGCTTGCTGTCTTCCTAGCCTGCTGTTAAGGAATCTCACCTTTTCAAAACTTGGTTAATTTTTGCCCGTCTTTGGTCTTCTGGCACCTTTTGTGTTCTTCATACATTCCCAGCAGCTCCTGCATCACGATTCCAAGCAGCACCATGAACACGGCTTGATTTCCTCTGTAGCAATGTCTATCTTACTCCTTCAAGTTTGAAGGTCATATTCCTTGATGAAAGTAGAGGAGGACTTGAACGGTTCTGTTTTCTCGTGGTCGCTTGTTAATTTTATCTCATCTCTTCTGAGCCCAGGGCTTATCTTTTAGTAGTCCATTTTTTTTTCTAAAAACCCTTTAGTTGTTCACAGCATTTTTTTTTTGCAACTTATTACTGGCAATAATATATTATGCTTTTGCGGCCCTTTAAAAAGCTTTTTATTAGCTAGATTGACTCCTGAACAATTTATTCATCCAACAAACATCTATACTGTGTCTTGGGAATACCGCCGGGAATCGTGAAAGCCCTCACGGAGCTTATGTGTTAGGGCACAGGCAGTGGTACCCGGACACGTGAACAGGGTCACCTCAGGGAGGAAACGAAAACAGGGGCCGAGAGGAAGGGCTACTTTAGAGAGCGTGGTCCAGGAAATTTCTCTGGGATGACATTTGGGCTAAAGGATGAGAAGTGGACCATTTGAGGATCTGCAGGAAGCGCATGCTGGGTAGAGGGATCAGCAAGGTGTGAAGGTTAAAGCAGGAACAGCTTCGGGTGTCCCAGGAACAGAAAGGCCGGTGTAGCTGACATGCAGTCAACAAGGGGGAGAAGTCAGAGGGAAAAGTCAGGGGTCAGAGCAGGCTGGGCTTTCGGCTACGGTAAGGAGCTGGGTTTTATTTTCAGGGCTTTAGGCAGAGGAATGATAGTATCCGATTCGATTCTGAATAGACCACTCAGACTGCTGCAGTGTGGAGATGGGCTGTGGGTAGGAAGCTGTGATCCAGACAGGAGTGACCGTGGCGAGGGTGGGGTGGGCAAGAGTGGAGATGGATGGGACAAAAATGGTGGTAGTCAGGGGGGTCTCTTTGGGGTGGGGTCCTGAAAGACTTGCTGAGAAACGGGGTGTGAGGCAGCACTGGGGGATGGGCAGGCGTGGTGTTAGTTCCATTGTGAGAGTGAGGAGACAGTTGGTTAATGGCAGAATCAGGACCCAACTCCTGACCTGGATTTTCCCCTTCTCTTCCCAGCTTTGGAAGAAGGGAACCTCAGAGGGTTTTGGTCTATTCCTAGAACAGAGGCGCTTTGGGGCTGTGGGAATTCAGACAGGAGGGAAAAAGCAGGTGAACGCCAGAGAGACTGGAAAGAAATCTCAGGCGCCAGGAGCTCCAGTACCTCCTTGTGGCTTAGCCGGGGACCTGGATGCGCATCTCCCTCCACAACACTGCCACCCAGTGGTGCAGAGTCAAACTGCAAGGGCAGGACTCACCAACCCGAGCCCTTTCCTGTCACCGCAGGTCTTTAAGTGGACAGGAAGCAACTCTTTCTTCGTGAAAGGAGACTTGGATTTACTGATGATGGGCAGTGGCAGGTGCGTGCGTGGCTTAGTCCTCTCTGTGTCTCAGGGTGGTCTGTGTTCTGGTTCCTTCTCCTGTCCAGAAACACTGGGTTAGGCTGCCTCAGATAAAATGGGGAGGCTGGTGGTCAACTTTCAGGCGTCTCCCTTCAACAGCCCCAGGGTGCTGCCCAGTCCCCCAAGCCAGCCTCCTCAACCCCGCTCTAAGTCAACATTGAAGGGAAAGGAAGGATGGCATGGACTCTCCCCCAAAGTGTGGACAGTTGGCGACAGCTTAGTCTGAATTTATGTAACTTTGGAAACAGCATTCCCCATGGTTGGATGAGGCTACTCAAGGGATGGACTAGCTTCACATTTACCTGTCAGCCCTGGAATCCTAGGGAATGTAACTCAGTGGAGGAAGTTAGTCTCACCTGTGATATGAACCAACCTTATCCGGAGGGCAAAGATGACAGCACAGTTTGATTAGTACCAGGCAATATCTCTGCTCGCCCAGCTGCCTGAAAAGCCCCCATTGAGAGTCAGCCATGACTGACTTGCAGTAACTCACTTCCCAGCTCCAGCTGTCAAATGAGGGCATTAGAGTGGACTAGGTTTGCTGTGAAATGAGGGAATTAGAGTGGACGCTCTCGGAAGCGTTTGGGGCTCGAGTCCACGCCTGTGAGAACCACTCCTTTGGTTAAGCATTGCCATCTTAAAAAAACATTCCAAATGTTCTAAAATTGGATTGTGGTGAGGGTTGCACCACTGTATATAGTTATTAAAATCACTGTAAAAAAATGATACTCTAAGCCCTGTGGGTAACAATGTGTGGAGTCCCCCAGCAATTCAGGATAAATCGGTTTAAGGGAAGATGAAATGCGGGCAAAACTGGGCTGCGGTCATGGGTGGCCGAGGACCAGTGGTGTGGATCGGAAAGGTCTCAGCACCCAGGAGCCATGCCAAGCCTTTCCTCTTCTTTTTAGTGGCCAGTTTGGGCTGTGGCTGGATGGAGACTTGTATCATGGGGGAAGCCACCCCTGTGCGACCTTCAACAATGAGGTGCTGGCCCGGCAGGAGCAGTTCTGCATCAGGGAGCTGGAGGCCTGGGTTCTGAGCTGATGCCCCCATGGCGGGCAGCTTCCTGAGGCAACAGGTGACCTGCTCATGGACGCCATCTGGGCCTCCCTTACACAGGGCAGACCATTCTGTCCGAAACACAGGTGCAAAGTGTCCTCGTGCTGACTGTGGCTGTGAGGCAGCCTCCCCGTGGCCTAGGGACCCAAGACAGGCATGGGGGCAGAAAGTGTTCCCCTGGAGAGGTGACTAAAGGAGTGAAAGATATTTACACCTGATCGGAGCAGTGCAGAGACCCTCATGAAAATGATCTGTTTAGAAATTATACAACTAATACGTGTGTATTGTAGAAAAAAAAAAGCCAGTAAAAACTTTAAACTGCCTAAAATTCAACCACCCCCCCAAAACACTAACATTTTCATGTATATCCTTCCAGACGGTTTTCCATGGGAACATGTATGTATGTCTTATAAAAATGGGATTCTACTCTGTATATTTTGGAAATGATTTTAACTGAAAGAATATTGTCAAACCACAGACATCTGGGCTCAACCAGTGAAACTCATACAGACTCTAGTAGTATCATTCTTTTTCCAGAAACTGAGGGCTTTCTGTCTGCCACCAGTGTGCCGGGTGCTTGCAATCTCTAATTTCACGAGGAAGACATGAACGCAGCAAATGAACAGTGTGCATATTTGATAAAGAAGCTGAAATTCTGTAGGTGGGAACATCAGGGAGGTTAAAGGAGACAGAGGGTATGTTTTCTGGCACAACAAGAGCTCAGAACACTAGGAAAAATCCATATCCCTTCTCATGCTAGTGCCTACCTTCAACCAGGAGGAAGATTCTTTATTATGCTATTATTTGCCATGATTGGATAAAGAAAATCAAATAACACAGGCCCTGTTCAATACCATCCCTTTCTCACAGACCCAACAGACCTGAGGTACTAAGACCTATCTGGGTAGATGCCTAAACCCATTTCCTTTGCACAAAAGGGTCAAAACTGGGTACACAGGGATGAGAGAGTCATTAAGGAAGACACGTTTGGTTTCAGGATGGAGATACATTCAGGAAGTTTTATTGCAACAGTTCCCCTCACCCAAATGAAGTAGCCAGTCATTTAAAACTACAATTCTATTTACATTCTCAAGGTGATAACATTCAGTAACTCCAGAGGCTAAGCTGATAAACTTTCCACGTTAAGACAAACAGTGCAGATGTTTCTTAAGATAAATCTAACCTTGTAAATAGCATATGGTGCTCATAATTAAAACAGTTGTAAAAAGCATAAAGTGCAGCTGCGTTATTTTGCAAACGAAATAGATTCAAGTCGTTTCTCAGATAGCACAATGATACAATTTTGGGGCTACAAGATTCCAAAGGAAACCACAGTGATTTACAGGGAGGAGTTGCAGAAATAAAAAACAATCTTAGCAGAAAAACATTACATTCTTGACCTTGGGTCTGGGTACACAAAAGTCTGAGGCCTATAGTTCTCCCTACTGAAAGGTTTAGAGGCACCTTGGCCAAAATACATGAGCTAGTACCACGGCTGCCTTCACCTGAGCTTGTCTGCGCCCACAGGTGAACACATCCCGTCTTCACGGCGTCACAGTGTGAGGGAAGGGTTTTAACTATTTTCCTGTGAATTAGGGTCAACTCTTGATTATCTACTGAGGGATGGAGAAGCAGGGTGGTGACAGTACAGAATGGCAGGCACTCCAAATGCTTTTCACCCAAGTGTCAACAAAACAAAAACCTGGTCACACGGTGGGAGGTTAGGTAGCACTCCTGAGTCTGCACAATCTGCTGGCCTGGGGCCTGAGTTCCTCCCTTCCTCCACTCACTCTTGCCCAGAGCCTGGGCTGGCGCCCCACTCCCAACTGCCACAGGGAGTGTCAAAGCGGAAGAGATTAGGGGCTCCAGACTCCCATTCCTCACTGCCTTGCGTCTTCAGGACCCCCTGGCCCCCACTGGCTTGGGCTCTAACTAACTCCAGACTTTGCTCTTGGTGAATTTCTGCAGAACTGGGGATGTGGGGAAAGGGGGCCCTCGGCACAGGAGCACTGCTCAACCACAGTGACACCCACTCCACTGCTGGAGGTGTGGAACGCCCCTTTACAAAGGGGAGCCTGGAACTCACTGGGTAATCACACATCTCATCCTCTTTGCTCTGAAACCGTAAAATGCAGGACCAGCACCAAGTCCCAGCTCTGAGTAGTCCTGAAGACAGGGCTTGCCTCTGCTCGCTCCTAAGGGAGACGCAGGCAGCAGGTCAGAGGCTGGGCAGTGGTAACACCTTTGGCACTTGGGCAGTGAGTATTCAGGAAAGAAACTTTCCGGTGCTGGAGCCACAACTGACCTAGAGAACAGCCTGGTCTAGGGGATCCCTCTGCCACTGGGGGTAGGGGTCTCCTAAAAGGTAATTTTATGCCCCCCCTTCAGAGGAGGCCAGAGCCCTCAGATCTTTTGAATAAATTAATCAGGTCTCTCACCAAAGAGTTGGAACCCACTCCTGGTTCTCATCTCCTACTGTTTACCCCAAAAGGGTGAGGAGACGGTGTCTTTCCCTAACATTTAGGTCACTTAAGGAGAGTAGTCTTCAAATTCGGGGTGATGGGCACCTCCTCGGGGGGCTAGGATTTTATGTTTTGTTTTTAACCATGGCTGTTCATGACAACCCAACTTCAAATTCCAATCTGCACCCTTGTCTTATTTCCAATTTTCTCTCTAAAAAAACAATCACATGTCATAAAAGTTCAGAGTATATAAAAGAATTGTTTTCCTAAGAAAATAAGAGTACTAAAAGAGTAAGTCTTTAATTAACATTAAAAATAGGCAAGGTGATACTTCTCATAGCATGGATAGCAAGATTTGCTTAACATCTTTTTGTTTGAATAAAAATTGCTTAGCTTCAGCATTTGTGCACATTCAAAATATAAAATAAAAAGTACTAGTTGTCACTAAATTTGCCAGTTTCTGTGATTAAATTATCTCAATTAATCGTGTTGGGGTGAGGGATTTCTGTAAACAAATGATTGCAGACATTCACATTAAACATCTTTAAAAAGCTGTTTTTTGCTCGCTGGATTCTGGTCTGAATTCTGGTTATGCCACTCGTATTTCAGCGGTGTTACAACATCGCAATCCTGTCAAGGAGAAAAAAACTAGGAACAGAGAAAAGCCGGTTTTCATCATTTCAGTGCAAGTTTCAGGTACACATAATCTTGTGTTACTTGTTGCTTGCTTCTAGAAATACTTATTCTTGGGAAACCTCAAATTATATATACGTAGGCTCTGTGCGTGGGTCAAATCAGAAACACCACAGCCCTAGTCAGGTAAGAGCCTCACAATAAAAGCCTATTCTTTTTCACAATAAAAGCCAGACCTAGTCCTTTTGTTCAAAGATGGTCAGAGCAGCATATTGCCCGCTCCTACGACCCTCTGCCTTCATACAATTCCAAGGAACACACACTCTGTCCTGCTTGCCCGAGAGAAAGAGGGACTTCCTTGGACCCCTGTTCCTCCCTTGCCTGGTCCCCTCTGCAACACAGTTCCCTGGTCTACAAGAAGGCAAAAAAAAAAAAAAAAAAAAAGGGAGAGGGGAGAGGGGAAGGACGGTCTGTACCTGCAGAACTTGAACTTTTCTCCCCAAAGCTATAACTGGTCCATCAGCATAGACTCTACTCCAAATGAGGGATGGCCTCAAAGCGAAGTGACACTATGACTCGAAAGCCTAGAGTGTGAGGAACACCATTTGGGTTTCTGCCTGAACCAGTGTTTCCTGAATGGCTATTCTTTTGGATGGCAAATAAAGGCTTGTTGTCTCTCAAAAAAGAAAAGAAAGCAAAGAGTGTAGGAAGCAAGACCCTTTAAGACCTGACTCTGCCTCAACTGTTCTTGAATTTGTTGCTAACCACTCCCAGGTTACAGGAGGATATAGGACCTCTGAGAGCCTTTACTGCACTAGGAATACGATGCTTGTGGAAGAATACTGGGGTCCTCATTTGCCGACTCACTTTCAGACACACCCTTCACCCTGCCTCTGCTCTGCTCTGTATAACAGGAGCTGCTCATAAACTACATTTCTCAGCTCCCGACCTACTGGCTTCCAATTAGGTTTGGCCAATGGGAGGCACTGGTAGAAGACTGGAAAAGAGAAGGGCAGAGGAGCCTGGGTATTTCTCCCCCCAGTCCCTCTGGCACAGGCAGCAGTGGCCATGACTCTTCCGTGGCTCTAGCTTCTGCAGGCGGACCCAGAACCTAGACTCCCAACTCCTACCTTAGAAGTGGGAGCAGCTTCCGACTGTTGTCTCACTGTCCTGTTTGCTTGTTTAGCTCTGCCCAACGTTTTGTATCTCGTCCCCCATATTTAATATCTTGCATATAAACCACACTGGATCTGACTTGATAGAGCTATTAAAAGCAGCCATTCAATGGCCATGGTACTCATATTTAGAAGACCTGTCTATCTCAAAGTCAACATTATTGGTCTTCAAATCCGTCTATTTCTACCAAACTTCCTTATTTCTACCCATTCTCATTTCAACTCTAGTGACTTTTATTTTTTTAATTTATTTTCTAGCTGAGCCATCCTGCCACCTGTTGGCAGCTCAGCTTGGGCCGGGACTCGAACCTCTGTTGCTCAGAGCTCGCACACTTGAGTGAGCTCCTAACCAACTGAGCCACTCGGCTGGTCCCGGAACTCTAGTGAATTTTAAAATGCAAACCTGAGTACGTCATTCTCCTGCTTAAAACACTGCAATGGTCCCCACTGCTGTTGGCTTACAGGACTATGCATAATGCCCCAGACCCCTCCCCTACGCGTAACATGTTCTCTCATCTTCCGGCCTCACCCTCACGCCCTCAACCCAGCTGACTCCTTCTCATCCATCCTTCAGGTCTCAGCTTCTAAACCCTTCTTTAAATATGCCTTTCCCTACCAAACGCGTCTGGCTTAAAGCCTCCTCCTTGTGCTCCTGTAAGACTCTGTGCTCTCCACCCCAAAACACCACACCACTGTAACTCTGATTCATTTGTGTGTCTGTTATCCCTAACTAGAGTGAGGTCTGTTTGAACTGCGTGTGTCTGAGGTACTAGTCCGTCCCTGGTACCTGGTACAGCGCCTGGCAAATGAACTTTCAATGAGTGAACTATCCAGATTTAAGGGAGTTATTGCCACATGGATGAACTTTAATAGCCTCTTGCCTCGCTGCCCCCAGTCTCTCTGAGTTCCAGTCCATCTGCCTGCCGATAGTGCTCTTCCTGAATCAGTGATTTCGTTTCCTTAGGTGCTATAGTACCTAAGACAGACATCCTTCCTCGTTTCCGAGGGGCCCATTCTAGTTGGAGTCAACAATAATTACAGCAGCATGGTAAATCTTGAATACTCTCGATGATTCCTTCCCCGCTGAACATAAGAAAAAACTCTTTCTTTGCTGATTATCCAAGGTTCTCCATAGTCGAGTCTACTGTTCCCATTGAACCTCTCACCGCTCAACAATAAGAATTGTCCACTCCAGTCAACAGGTCTCGTCATGGTCCCTCCAGACACACTCACCTTGAAACAGCTTCACGCCTTTGTGTTGCTGCCATTGCCAGATGTGTCCACCTTTCTCTCGGCTACTCGCCCAAACCCAATCGGCCTTCTGGGTCAAGTAGAATCCTCCTTCCTTCAGAAGGCTTTCCTGTCCACTCTCCCCACTCTGAATCCTGACAGAACTCACCTGAATCACTCTGTCTGGCACTTGATAAAGGACTGACGGACTGAGCTACTCTTTCACATCTGACCTTTCGTTTTTGTTTCTTTCAGCATCTGACACACAGGGGAAAGCGGGAAGGAGTCCAAGACTAGAAAGTAGGACGTTGTTTCCCACCTGCCTGCCCACTGTGTTCACTCAGTCAGTCAACAAATATCAGTTGGTCACTTTCTCTGCGCCAGGCACCTACTATGTGTAGATCAACAAGGAATCATTTAAACAACATTAGCTACAGGATTGGCAACTTCGGTTTGCCTCCTCTTCCTCACCATGCTCTTATTCTAGAGAACTAAAATAGTTTACAGGCTTGGGAATGCTGAGTGTATAATAAGAAGTTAGAAAACTTATTATCAGTTGTATGTGGACTTAAACAAGTTAACTAACTCAGCGTTGGTAATCCTCTCTGAAAGATAAGGACACTGCGACTCACTCCCAGGTCACTTGAAAGGACTGGACGAAACAATTGGTGAGAACATCATAAGGTACTGTTCACATGCTCACCATTTTAAACTTTTATTACTAGGGCAATACTGATAAACAGAGTACCCATTCACAACTTGTATAGGAAGAAATCAGCAGCTGACATGGATTCAGACATTTTAAAAAAGAAAGCTTCAAGAGAAAAACCTTTTTTTTTTCTTCAAAACCATAACCAAATGACTATAATTTAAATGAGAACTTTTCAGAGGGAAGTAAGGATCTCTTTAGGTCTTTACTTAAACATAAAAAATTTACAAAGTATGTGAATAAGAAGACACCCACCTGTGGCTTGCTGTATTCTTTAATTGAGCACCACTTAATGAAATGTTCCCGTGCAGCATAAAAACTCTGTATATCTAGCTTCTTGCAGTACACTCGAATTATCTGCTCTTCAAATCTCTCTGGCAAAAGCTGTGAAACCTTTATAAAGAAGAACATTTCACTGTTTCCTTGAATTCCTACTTAAAGACGAGATCAGCTGTTCCTAAGCCCCATTCTTGCTATATTAAAAGCACCATCTTGTTTTGCTATTTTATCCCAGTTACAATCAAAAGAAAAGAATTCATGGTAGTTGTCATATTGCAAAATGTCCCACAATTTTATGTCACTTAATAAAAGACCAAAAGTTTTTATTACATACATTATTGTAGACTACAGGCTCTCATACAAAAGATAGGTGAATAAGCACATCTAACTTACATGACTTCCACCATACAACGCTCCCTTCCCAGCAGATTTTTCACCTAGCCTTGAAACCAAAAATGCTTTTATCTATGTTCAGCAAAAAGAAAAACTGGCTGTTAAGACGGTCTAGTTTGGGGCAGCCAGTTAGCTTAGTTGGTTAGAGCGCAGTGCTCATAACACCAATGTTGCCAGTTCGATCTCCGCATGGGCCACTCATATGCGCCCTCCACAACTAGATTGAAACAACTACTTGACTTGGACCTGATGGGTCTTGGAAAAACACACTGTTCCCCAATTAAAAAAAAAAAAAAAAAAAATAGTTTAGTTTACGGAGTGGCTAGTTAGCTCTGTTGGTTAGAGTGTGGTGCTAATAACACCAAGGTTGCTGGTTCGATCCCCATATGGGCCACTGTGTGCAGGGCCCTCCTTATAAAAAAAATAAATAAATAAAAAATAGATGGTCTATATAGTTTACGTAAAATCAGGTACACTTTAATTTTAATAATGTTTCTCATTTTTTTTTAACTGTACAAATTGACTTTAGGACCTAGCCTGCATGTAAAATGTAAATTTACTATAAAGATTTGCTAAATGTATACTACAGTATATATACATTTTTTCCTAAGTAGTTACCTGACTTTTATTAATCAGGAATGCATGGTAGACGTTACTCTTACAATAGAAGTAAACGTGATCAACAGGATTCTTGTCTTCCATTCCATAATCCATGTTGATAACCTTAATAAAAGCAATAAATAAACGATCGTTTACATATTTAAGAACAATGAGAATTGAATTCAGGGCTGTAGGATCATCACAAGAAATGGAGCAGAGCTCTCTGGAGTTGAAGAAGTGAACTGGTAAGGTGGCTCATAGTGGAATAAAAATGGTACATGACCCATTGGGATTTGGTTTTGAAATCTGGAGTGGGAGGTGGGTATTTGTGCTTTCAACGTAAGTAGGGTATAAAGCAAATACCTTTTTATGTGATAGACACTGTGGAAGGCAATAGAGACACAACAAGGAAACCTGATACAATCTCAGCCCCTATAGACCATGTGGCCTGGACTGAGTTTGAACAAATAATTATAAAAGTAATTATTGGAAGCATTTGAGATCTTGCTTCCCAGCATACGTCATCAGTTTGGGCTCAAATAAATTCTTACAGAAATTCTAAAAAATAATAATAATAAAAAAATAAAGTCATTATCTCACCACATTTGTTATATAAGAGCTACCAAGGAAAAGCAAATGGTGCTGTCAAAGTTTGTAACCGGGAAACCTAGTAGTGTGGGGCTCCTGGGGAATGACTCGGAAAGTTTTCCTGGGAATATGATTTTACTAAGTGAGCAGGCATTCACCAGGCCTAGGTAAGAAAGAAAAAAAGTTCCACGCAGAAGAAACAGCTCTGAGGCAATGAGGGACCGAAACTGGATGCCGGGTTTACTAACACGGAAGTCATTGATGATCTTGGTGAGAGTAATTTTAGTACAGTGATGGTAACAGAAAAAAGGTACAGAAGTAAATAAGAAATGAAAGAGAGAAGACAACTCTTAGACATTGGGCTGTTAAGAAGACACAAGAGAGAGGAATATGGTCCCCAAGAAAGGTAAGGGGAGACAACTAAAGAAGAGAGGGTGAAGAGAAGAGCAGCACTTGTGATTTTCTTTAGATGAAAGTCTATTTAACTGCTGATGGTACAGTCAAAAAGAGAGAGGAGAGAATCGATACTGTAAGGTTCCACAGAAGTGCCGAGACAAATGGCTCGATGGCCGCACGGTCCAATGTGGTAGCCACTAGCTACCTACGGCTTTTTTATTTCCAATAATTAACATTAAATAAAATAAAAAATTTAGTTCTTCAGGTGCAGTAGCTATGTTTCAAGTGTTCAATAGCCATGTGTGGCTAGTGGCTACCAAAATGGCCAGTACAGAGAGAGAACATTTCCATTATCGGAAAGTTCTGTTGGACAGCCCTGGTTTAGAGCACAAGTACAATATAAGGATTATATTGTACTTAGCCTTAATTAGAAGAGAGACACTTCCCCACTATTATAAGAGGGAAGGCTGAACACAGCTGCAGATGGAGGCAAGCTTGCTTATTTGGTGGTGTAGGTTGAGAAAGTTCCTACCGAATGGCCTATATTTTATCTCTAAAATATGAGCCACAGTGGGGTTAGTCACTGTGGGTTGGGGAGCAGTGTTGGATGTCTGAGAGCAGTGAAGATGGTTTGAAGTAGTCATTATGGAGCCTGGAGAATTATACTAAGCCTGCCAGAGAGTTCAGAGGGCCCAGCAAAGGCTGGTGACCATGAACTGCCATTCAGCCTTATGCTAGGTGGATGCAAAGAGAGGCACGGGAGTTGAGGGTAACTGCAGAAAATGATTGAATTCATTAATTCACAGAATCTCAGTTAGATTGAGAAATAAAGATAGAAGGTCATTGACAAGCTGGGAGAAATTGAGGAAACAATAAACTGGCGGTCCTGATGAGCTAGGAATAAGCAAATAAGAATGGGGTTTGCAGACAGAGACGGGATGCTGAAATTAGTGATTTTTAGAGGGAGGGTCTTTTTGAATGTTGATAAAGTTCAGAGTATAATCTGCTGAGAGTGTTAGCTGAGGAACAGTGGTTGAGGATGAAGAGATCAGAGTTGGCCAGCCTTGTGGACTCTGAAGTCACTAAGGAGAATGGCAGGAATTGGAATAGACAGGAAGACTCTAAACCATGCCGAAATCTTCAACAGGAGGGTAGTAGATGGTTTGAGGATGTCAGTCTCAGAGGAACAGGGATCTTGCATAGGGTCTTGAAATGGTACTAGGGACCAAGAGGACTGATGAACAGGAAGGTCTCCTGACCCTGAAGAATGGGCTTTTCCTGAACCAGCTGCAGGGGAACCAGGTTCTCAGGGAACAGCCAGGCTGCAACAAAGGCAGACAGAGTCAAGGGGCTGAGGCTACAGGGGAGTTTGTTAATTATGGAGTGAAAATTCCAAAGGGCTCCATGGGTAGGTTTGGGGGAAGGGGAGAGACTGCAAATGAAATAAGGAGAAAAAAAATAGAGTAATATGGCAACGATGGTCCAGAAAATAACAGATGATAAGAGGAGCTTATCCTGTGAGCGGTGACTGAAGAAAGCCAATACATGAGGTTTGGTGGTTACACCATCAGTAGCCTGTGAGAGAACGGTGGACAGCTGAGATTCAGTTGTGGTGCAGAAGTGAGCATGCTCATCCCTTCACCTGGAGGGAGCATGCTCAGTCCCCCGCTTGATCCCAGGGCCAGTGCTATCATAGGCTTCTTTCCTGGGTGTTGTTTCACGTGGGGAGGGACTCGATGCAGCCCTGACATTGTCACACATCATGGTAAGGCAAGAACACTAATCAAATTTTCAAAAGTGCCACTAGCTCTTCACTATTTATTTCCTTGACTTTAAAATAGGAATAAAGGGTAATCCCTGTTGTCTCTATAATGTACAACTGGAAATTCCACCCTAAAGCAGATTTGATAAAACAGTAATTTTCCCAGAAGGGCAATGTTATAGTAGTTGGAGATCCATTCTTACCCAAGGACTCAAGACCAGAAAGTAGCTACAGACCAATAAGTATGACTCTTTAATTCTAAATAGTAAAATTAAGTTTTATAGCTCATTAAATAATCGTAAAGTTTACTACACACAATCCTAAACAGAGCCAGGTATGGTAAAATGCACCACATAAATATGTATCTTATACTGTCAAACTAAAACTGAAATGCTAATATATGGTAAGACATTTAATTAACAATTTTACTTGCTTTCTCAGAATATAGAAGGG